AAGCATCTCTCTTTTAAATGGCACTGGTCGACTCCATCGTCAATTAACAACTTAAAATGTTCGACTCAATCCTGTTTCACGCATCATATCCTCCACACTTCAATTCCTCTTTCCATTTTCACTACTGTCACCCACAATAAATACAAATCTTTATACACTCGTAACACAGCTTTTCACAATTCCCTTGTACCTCACTGTTCTCCTTTGTGGGGTTCAAGAGAGTGATTATCGAATGTAATGAGACAACATTATGTAATTCATGCAGCAGTTTCCCCAGCGGTTCTGGCTTCTAATTATCGTTAAACTTTAAGGAATATGTAAAACATCCTTTTTCCTTTATCCATTTCAGCAACACAAGAAGACAGTACTGGCCGATTGTGATGCACTAAAATATTTTCTTTCTGATAAAATTGAGTTTCATTATATTTATCACCTATATTAATTCTTTGAGTATGGACATTAATTCTTCTGTTTACTTCGATCTACTTAGTTTCTAGACTGCATGATTGTAAATTAAACGTGCTTGACCTTGGTTGCCAAGATAAAATAATCTGAACATGAAAATCACAAACTTTATTAGGTATGAAAACGCAACATATTCTAATAGAAGTGACTCCAGAATCATCCCAAATTATTTCCATAAACCCTTGTTATCTCGGTTATTTGTTGTGAGGCATTATCTTATCCAATTCATAATCCACAATAGCAACTCTATTGAATAACCAAATGAAATTCTTTCACAACCCAAATAAACTGCAATAAATAAGGTTTCATAATAATAATAATCTGTTTTCATAGCTAACTCACTGAATTCGATAAATACCATTTTCATCAAAGTCATACCTGAAATCTAGGTCATTTTTGTGCACAGCTTTAAACGTTGGTATTGTTATCACCATACTGAAGCAAGCAGCACTCAAAACACAAAAGTTCTCGCTATCTCAGTGAAGAAGATAGAAATATAGTTGCACAAGCACACAAGCTGGGATTTTCCATATCAAATCTTGCTCAATAGTTTAACGCTAACAAAAGAACGAGTTACAGGATAATCCATGGGAAAACAACAGCTTGTGGAGGCCGTAAACCAAAACAGGATGATGACCTAATTCGTATTACCCTGAAAAAAACATTGCAGAAAATCGTTGTCGTCTATCCAACAAGAAGATCCTCCCCGCCATTCATACTCATTTCTGCAAAGAATGAAAATTTTTAAAATGGTTGACTCTAAAGTGCAGCTCGTGCAACTCTCCTCTAACAGCCCGGATCTGAATGTGATTGAAAATCTGCTTGCTGTTTTGAAGAAACAGGTCAATATGCTACCTGTAAATTAGAGGCAAAAGTGCAATACGTAATAGAGCACAAAATAGAAAATGACTTCATAACAAAGTTGGCGGATTCGATGCCGAAGAGACTCGAAAAAGTCTTAAAGAGCAAAGGTAGACCAATAGACTATTAGTGTACATAAACCTTACGACTTAATTATGATTAATGTTAATTGGTTGCAAATAAAAATTGTTTTATTCTCTTTATTGAAGGTTCTCATTGTAACATTTGAGAACAAAACACGAAATAGCAAACAAGCTCGTTTTCGATAACTTCGTCATCTGGCTCATACAGTTATAGAAATAGGTAAAAGGTGATGGGCGGGTGGGAAAGGGACGTATCACAAGAGGGATTAGGACCGAGTCACGGTTAACCATCACCGTTTTGGGGTACGGGGTCAATTGCAAGGGTCAACGGGTCATGGAGTCAACTCCAGCCATGCAACTGAATTCACTCCGTGGCCATGGCAGTTGAAGTGCTTTAACGAATCGTTTTTGGGAACAAAGCGATGGGTTAAACAGACGGATGGCTGCTATTATTAAATGTTGTTGGCGAACAGCCTTAGATGGATAAGGAGGAACCCGGTAGATCACCTGAAACGCGTCTTTATCCATAGTATGTCCCGTATTGGCGAGGTGTTCGACAATGGCACTTGTCATGGTTTTTCTATCTCCAGTAGACAACCAGGCTGGTTTATGTTCCTTGATTCTATGGGAGAACTGCCTGATGGTTCTACCTATGTAGCTTGCCGAAAATGAGAAAACAAATGAGTAGGTTATCATAAAAAAGGTAGAAATAGGCAGTTTATCTTTGAGATTCATAGGAATAACTGGTCGATTGGTGAACTGAAGGCTTAAACGTGCTGCGGGAAATGTGCGTGTGAATGCTCTTTCCAAGCGTCGGATGACTAGCTTACTTTTGTGCTCCCCTTTGTAATGGAGTCGCATGTATGTCTTTCTTATTCACTGTTGTTATAGGAGGTCCCTTGGGTGTCTCAGATAGATTTTTCTGAATGAACCGTTCCGGGTAACCACTGGATATAAGAGTTAGTTTTATATTCTCCAATTCTTGTGGTAAGCTTTCTTCTGAGCCAATATATCTTGCACGAGCTGCGAGGGAACAGACAAGGTTCCGTTTCCGTTTCAGTGGTACGAAGCTTGCGAAGTGAATATATTGCCCAGTCCATGTTGGCTTGCGATAAACACTTCTGTTCAGATAACCATCACTACGTCGCGTGAGATTCACATCAAGAAAATGGATGGTATCTCCTGATTCCACTTTGATGTAAAAGTAATAGCTGCGTTCACCTCATTGAATTTTCTCAATAGCATTTCCAACGAGGTTTTCTCATGTGTCAAGAAGATGTCATCTACATAACGACAATAAAAAGGCAGACTATCTATGGTGGCTCTGAGTCCATCATTTTCCAGTTTGGTCATCAAGATAACAGCCATAGGGGTCCTAGTGGAGAACCCATCACTATTCCATCAGTCTGACGATAGATTTCATTGTTGAAAGAGAACTGAACGTTGCATGTGCAACGGAGTAATAGTTCCTTTAGGCTAGTCAGTGGAATACCAATGTTGATTTCGTTTTCCTCTAAATACTCGCATAAGCAAGAAATCGTCTCCAAAAGTGGCACATTAGTGAATAAGGAAGTGACATCGAACGAGGCCATCCTCAGTCCATTTATGTTTTTTTTCTCATTAGCTCTACGAACAGCAACGTGTCTTTTAGACTAAAACTTGAAATAACTGTATTAGCCGGATGAGGAAGTTATCGAAAACGAGCTTGTTCGCTATTTCGTGTTTTATTCTCTTTAGTTAGCCCTTAACTCATCTTAGTCTAGGTCAACCACTACTGACGAAATGGGAGTATCCGCTACATTTCAAACCATTCCATCTACTGAGTATAAATGAATAAGGAAAAGCAGTGCTATAAAGACTCCTCAAGGCTTGTTTATTATCTGGAAAATAAATTTACTTCAGTATAAATGCTGTTGTCTATACGAACCCACAAGTGTTTCACAGGAGCCCGTTGCTTCAGTTTCGATTAAACCTGTACGTAGGCAGATCTGATGTTGACCATCAATGTACCCAGTCCCACAGGAACAGGTGAATGATTATACACAGAATGAGGCTGCATAATCTGGCATTCTGTACCTCAGTTGGAAACACATAATCGCCGCAGAATTGAAAGCTTTGTTGACATCTAAACTGATTACGTACATTGGCCGCACGACCAGGCGCTTATCTGATTGCGTACGCGAACACCACCCGGTTTGGCTGAGGACAAGGACAATTACGAACGCGGTGTGCTCGCATCTCACTGAGTTAAACCACTCAGTGGATGTGGCAAGCGCGTTCCGACCGATTTACAAGGTCCCACGGAGGCAATGAAGAACAGTAAAGCATCGTACCTTAGCCACGACCGAAGCCGTAAGTATTCGGAGTCACAACTCCTCTCCCCCTTGTGTGCCCAGAAGAAATTCGTGCAGGCACTGGCCCGCTTCACACACCCCAACACGTGTGCAATCACTTGAACTTTGGACAGTAGGATCAACATCACACAAGCACATACGTTTGGAGCCAAAGCGGAACCATGTGAACTCGAAAATCTCATTCCCTTTTTGTTCTTGTTGTTAGCCCTATTTAATGCTATGTAATGATATGATTACGAATTACTGATAACGAGGTTCTTCGCCACGCTATTGTTATTCTCAATGTATTCTACGGGACTATTCAAACGTTTGAAAATTCTATGCGCAACTGACTAACAAAGTGCGTTTTCGACTCCAATTGATGGTGGCTCAATTTTTCCCTCCCCTTTATGGTCGTTAATTCTCCAGGCACCATGCATTTTCGTACTTTGGGAACATTGAGCTTGGTAGCGATCAGCGAATTTCGCTTCATCGTGTCACTTCGTGCAGGAAGCAGTCGATTCCCACAAATTTTCGGATGTGAGTGCTTTAAAAGGATTCTTTGTTTGGTTTACCAATAATTCATTTAGTGATCAAAAATGCGCTATGATAGGCCTCACTCCCTTAGACATTGCAAATATGAAGATGGAACACATTGACTAAAACCAACCACGTGGTTGTGCCGATTGCATGGGAAATATGATCCAGTGTTTACATGAAAAGCATAGTGGATGAGTACTTCAGTTTTATTCAACATATTTGTGCGCATTAATCACTGATTTCCAATCGAGGGAGGTTTGGTACTTCACCACTTTCAGTCTGATTCTCCAATGCTTCATAGTCTGCATGCAAATCTTCCAGTGCGCGCTGACTTGTTTTGAATAGGGACAGATCAAATCCGTCTACATCAGTGTAGTGATGCAAATGAGCCTAAAACAGAGAGAGTGGACGGAAGAATAATAAGCACTTTCTGTTCTAACTGATATTGACAACGGTATTCTGTTTGATTAAACACACAGCTAATCGATTCAACCATACACTCGGAAGCACTAGACTCGAGTTTCGCTCTTATAAGAGTTCATCAGTAGTGCATATCCACCGTCCCGTTCGGGAGTTCAAATCCCGGACGGGACGGTGGATATGCACTACTGATGGGCTCTAATAAGAGCGAAACTCGAGTCTAGTGCTTCCGAGTGTATGGTTGAATGGATGAACTTTGGATTGTGCGTGAAGGTGAAGTCCGAAGGATAGTCAGTCAAATCAGTAAAAATCAATTATCCCACACCACTACTCACAAGTAACTGTGAGTCAAATACGTAAACACAGCATCATTCGATTTCTTCTTTTTCTTGTCATATTACTGCACTGAACATCCATGATAGATATTGAGCCATGGGATAGTCAAGCTACTTTTTGCCAAAAGTGGTAGGAATGAAACCTAGGATTGTAAATCCCGATGCACATCATCCCCAGCAACCATTATCTGATACTATATTATTTTCTGCGAGATGAAACCTCATGACAACGTGCAAATTAATTCTACCTGAAAAGAAACTGATGGTGGTTAGAATCAGTTGGGAAA